AGATATGTAAGGATTTGGTATAAATCCTAAGATGAACAGTTATTTCCAAATTATTTTAATTTAGTCACATCACATCAAGAGTATATCATCAAATGATATTATACATCATAAATGCAGCTTGTCAAACCTATATGAGAGCTACTTCTTTTGACAACAAGTCAATTAGCATGACATCCATCAATAGTAACAAAACACTATATTTTGTTTCCAATAATTTCACATTTTTACCTTGAAACCTTCAATCATCTCCATTTCAACTAGATGAATCATGACGTCTCTTGGATGACTAAACATAGCAAAACATGACATCTATATGTATTGTATTATATTTCTTGTACTTTTGGTAGGCTTTGACAATATTGCAAAAGTGGTTTGTAAGACACACCACTAAGTCACATTACATTGTTATAATTATCAAATATGTCTCATGATAGTGTTCATTTACACTGAATGCATTTAAAGAATATTTCGATTTTTTTGGAAATATAACAATCATTTTTTTCTTTATGCATTTTTGCAAGTCATTCTTTTACTTTTTCATTCTATGTTATGATGATATTTCTTGTTTTTTGCACTCTTGCAACTCCATGCTTTTTCCTTTCACTTTATATACTTGTTGCTCTCGTTGATTTGTGGAGAACCCATCAAGGGTGAAGGTAATATACTCTTAGGTTATAAAGTTTCTAATTTTGTATACATTGTAATGTGTATCCATTGGAGAGCAATCATGTTGCTTCTTCATATAATCATGCAGTATATAAACCCCTTGATCTATATAGTTAGTATATTTTAGGTGCATGAGTACATATTTATCATTGTGATGCTATTGGGGCCTAGATCTATTCTACCGCTGTGGTTTCATGCTTGTAGGACTTATGGGGTCTTCCATCCTTTTTGCTATATTAGTGGGTACCCATTTAGTACACACTGCACGTTACATTGTTAATTTGACTGTAGGCTTCCAAGGAACCGTACAGTCAAAATTTGAAATGGCTCTATCTGTACCTCGACATTCGCAAGCCATGTCAGGAACATCATACTACAGTACAATACAGTCCTGTATATTACGTATAGTACATTATACAATGTAATGTTTTGTACAGTGTAGATGAAGGTTAGTGTGAACAGGTTGGCGGGAGAAGCTCTGTTTCGAAGAATGTTCATGCGTTCTGCCTCTCGTTCTGAAATTTGAATGCGGCTGCCTTCGAACGGCATAGATATGTGACATATATATGAAATCAGGGTCTACAGTTTACGTGATTGATTTCTAGCCAGGAGGAGTTTTTATGGTGATATCATCTAATCCACAAGAAAGGTACTGCCCGCAATATAGCCATGGTTTCTGATTCTTTCTTAGCATGTTTGGAAGATACCGAAGACAGTTGCCTCAATTCAAATCATCATGCGTCTCATGCCCATCGGTGTAAATTTGTGGAGGATTTTGATTTTTAAGTGCTGAATTGTTAGTGTTTTCCATGGTCTCATACTCTCAGGTCGAGCTGGCTGTGACTGTAAGCAGTGACATGCGGAATATGTGAAGTCATCTTGGCACTTTTGGCAACGTCTGTTGCGCACCTCAGTTCCGCAATTTGAGTAAATTATATAAGATGGACCTTCCATTCCATTACTCGAATTAGGCATTAGGGTGTTCAAATTTAAACTTGTACCGCCTGTTTGATCATCCTTCCCCTGCTGCAGATTTCGGCACAGTTGCCTCCTCAGCCGTATTGTGAAATTAGGCTGTGAAATTTGACATCAGAAGCTTGGGTACCTAATTTGAACTTGGGACATAATACTTGAATTATTCCTATGTTCAGAATTTATGTGTTAAAAATTTTACTTCAGAAGCTTTCGGCTTTGTCTTGGGCTTTTTCTCCAGAAGGTTCTTCTAGTATCTGGACAACATCGAAGATTCAAATGTGAGGCATCGACGTCGGAAAGCATGCCTCCAAAATTGAGCACTAACGAGGGTACGTAATGAAATTCTTTCCAATGTAAAGATTGTGTTGATTCAGACTTGTTGGAATATGCAGTCATCAATGTCTGCTACAGACTACTATGTCTGCTCGTATGATTAAAGGAAGCTTCAAATCTTCAAGCATCTCTCGTTACAGAAGTATGAGTCTGCGACTTATTAGTTTCTTATTTCTGACATCCATCGATTTTTTCTGTCTTACCGAAATATGTGATATATCTTCTCATCCTGCTCTTTCTCTGCTGTACTCTAGCAAATTATGAGCCGTGATTACCTTATTTGCCTCTGCGCAGGAATTGTACTGGATTTCATCAACGAGGTAAATGTCTGTCCTCTTAAGTCGTTTGGTTAGCTAAGTTTTCTCGGTTGGATTCCTTATGAATTGCATCTCTATTGCAGCTAATTATCACTAGGCCTTCTGACAGAGAACTCGCTCAACAATCTGAGCAGTTCTAATGATTGTGACAGCAAAATCGACCTTTAAACGCTCAAAACGTGGCGGATGCTCTTCAAAAGCATGGCATCAAGAAAGTATCTGTTGAGAAAATTCTTACTACCCTTGGTGACAAAGGACAAATATCATTCAAGGAGTACGGGAAGCAAAAGATTTACCTGGCCAGGCAGGATCAGTTTGAAGTTCCAAACGCGGAGGAACTTGATCGCATGAGGAAAGAAAATGAACAGCTGCAGCGAGAAATAAACTCCTCAAAAACTTTTATCAGCGAGCTCGAAGCAGGTACTTCATACACCACATGCTTCGTAAGTAGAAGCATAACACTGCTTGAGATGGGAAACTGTGCCTCGTTGGCCACCTCAGTTACTTCAACAAACTCCAGCTCAAGTGGTTAAGTGGCACTACGATGAAGGCGTCTCACCCGACTCTTGGTATACAATGAAAGCAATTCAAGTTGTGCTTACAATTTCCTCGTGTCATCTGTAGAGCTTCGTTCTGTACAAAGCAATCTCACAGACAAACAGATCAAGCTGGAAACGGAGAAGCTTAACAATGAGGTGCAAGATACTTATGAGAACCCTCTTACCATATATTGTGCACTAGACGGTCTGAATAGGTAGTGCTTCCTTGTTCGTAACAACAGTCGTTATTGTTTTACCGCAAGAATTGCAAGACTTGTTTATAGTCCGTTCTCTTTGTTTCTTAAATATTGGGCATTAAAGCGATGTAGTGTCTCGGTTGCCTAATCAAAGCTATTACATACGCAGATTCCCAGTCTACAGGCCAAGCTAATTACGTTGAAAAGTGGAGCAACCGTGATGACATCCGAAGAGAAAGAGAAGATTGAAAGCGCATACACTCTTAAGGTCGGTTTATGGCGAAAAAGAAAACGAATGTTTAAGGATTTGTGGGATATGATTACCGAAGCAGTTCCAAAAAATCTTACAGAACTCAAGGTGAGGCCTTACAGGTCAATGGGGCACAAACCCGTGAGAATTTTGTCCTCTTTTGTATTTATTTTAGTCTGCCTGTTCTTCCGTTTGTTAACGTTTTCTTTGTGTTAATACTCCTTTCTGGACCTTAGCGTTTTGGTTACAGCAGTAGTCCATCATTTCTGCTCTTCCGAAGTAATTTTCCTCCTCCACTGCAGGAGGAGTTGGGCATCGAGTTGGATGAAGATGTTGGACACAAGATAGAAGACTATTGCAACTTAAATGTAGCAGTGAAAAAACCGATGGCAAAGAGACCTAAGCGTTGATAAGGTAATCAGAGCTTTAGCAGATTCGGCTACAAGCTGCATGGATTCCCTGCTAGATTTCTAGACACACGTATGAAGCTCTTCCATTCTTTCGCTCAAGTAGACATCGAAGTTCCTCTCCAGTTTCCAAAGTTACTCGCAGTCACCCGTACCTGTTCATAGCCAAAGCTAGGACCCAATGATCAAGACATAAGACTGGTCAATCGAAGTTCTCTACATTGTCCCTCTACTATAAACTATTGTATTGTATCCAAGTTTGAAGAAAACTGTTACCACTCTTCTCTGTCGAAATGGTCCAAACTGGTCCTCCACGCCTCACGTAGGTCGTCGTGTCATAATGTTGTATTTTGAGACTTAGAACCGATTTGGGAAAGAACTCGACAGAATCTCCGTGATACTCAGTTCGTGCCTCGTATTTGCATTTCGAATGTCATGGATACTCGGCCGATGCTACTGCGTTTTTTTTATCGTCGTATTACCGAAAGTCTCATAGGTATTTCTGAAATCTAGAAGCAGTCTGATTAGATGGGCAATACTACATCTAATTAGATGTGGTATTGCCCATCTAATCTGTATTGTATAGTGTATACAACACAGATATACACTAATTAGAGTAACCTCATCTGTATAAATATTTGAATAAGAAATGTATACTAAATGTGACAATTTTCATAAGTCTTAATTTATTTGCTAACCATATTAAAACATGTGATAAAGAAGATTTTTGAGGGAAAAATAGCAATGTCCAATCCATTTTCAAAAAAATTACCCTCATGGTCCCATTAATTAGTTTCGATATTCCTTAAATCACTTAAGTTTTAAATTTTGCTTACAATGAATTTATAAAATTTAATTTCAAAATTTTTTGGTTTAAAGGGAGATGGCAAAAGCCTGTCACGAAAGATGTAAGGTTGTAGAAAAGTTATAATTTAACCCCTTGTAGTGTTTTGGTGGTTTTCCAACAAAATTTATCCCATGATTAGAGTATACTACACTAATCAGAGAGTTGTAAGAAGATTCTCGGATGAAGAACCTTTTTCTATTCTCCTTTCATCAAGTGGACGAGTTCTAGGCGGTTTTTTTTCTAAAGATTTCTCTACTTATGGAGTGTTGAGTAGCAATTTCGACAACGTAAAAATTGCAAACAGCTGAGTATGATCGAGTCAACTTTTGGAACTAAAGGTGTGATTTAGGAAAGGTGGCTAACTGAATGGTGCACAAAGTAAATTTGTGCTAAAGTAATAGTGTTTTGGATGCCATGATGGAAAACCAGAACACATGAACTATGAAAACACCACAACGACAAAACTTTCTTGTTAATAGTGGAATTAGAACCCACGCTCTACCCGACCAATACCTGAAATTGGCGCCTTAGACCAACTCGGCCATTTTCACTTAGTTGTGATTATCTTGTTTGTTGAAGTAATACCAATTTTCAAGTACATATTTTTCTCGGGGTGGTGGGGGGCTGGGGCTGGGGGTGGGAATTTATCTAACGAAGAAGGTTTCGCTACAAGATATTATGTTGGAATTAACTGCGTTAAATCTTCTACTTTCGACATATTGACATACTTATATTGCTGTAACGAGATGATTGCAGTATATTCTTGATTTTACAGTTAGTACAACATCATGTACTGTTATTAATTTATGGACGAACGTCAATTTGTTCAAATACTCTGGATTATACTATATATTTCTCTGCACTGTTGTTTTGTGTTCTGTTTTCGCTTTGGTTGTGAAATTACTGTTTAGAGGTGCTGTTTCTTGGTGAAAACATTTGACTATACAGTTGGGTATAGACAGATTGAATTGTCGTGATGATAACGTTCCGTTGGTTCACGATACCTCCGTCTTAGCTTTCAACTAATGTCAAGGACTTACCCAAAGAGGAATACTAATTGTGCACCGCAGCCGTCACATATTCTTCTTACAATAATAATACGGATTCTATTCTATTGCCAAAACATAATCTCATATGTCAGTACTACTTCAAGAAGATATACACACGCAGAAGTCTTTTCCTCAAAACTCTTGATGTGGACATGTTGGCCAATTGATTCGAATAGTTCAGACAGCACGCAACTTAAAGCGGGAAATCCATTTTATCGCATTAAGGGTCTAAACGACGACTACGGGCTTGTACATTTAAAGCTTCTCCCACAAATTATCAATGGACAAAAAGGTCCGGTTATTTTCATCTCGTATCATACTCATGATGTACAGCAACAAACTTGCGTCCTGCAATTACTCAAGTAGACAATTTTACTGAGGCCATAGTAATCGCTGAGTACTTCGACAGAGACAAACTCTATGTATATTCGACAATATGTTTAATCTGTATACTACAACCTTCCAAATTTCAGAAGTAGCTAACATCAGATCATTAACTGCTATGTTGACATTTGAAGCAAGCCCTTGCAGTCAATTCAGGTGCTTCATCGTTGACCAAAAGAGGAATTGCAGCCACCTGATAAAAGGAGAAGAAACCGCTGCGTTCGACACGCTTAACGCGTTCCAAGCAGCTGTCGCCAACCTGGTAGATTGAGGTTCTGTTAACAAGGGTACTATCGAGTGGAGGTGAAGAGTGGTAGATAAAAGAATCGTGCGGTGTAAGCAGCAAATTCAGCATTCATAGCAACCAATGAAGGCAGTGCAAGACAGCACGTCACAGAAAAAATGCTGAATTTCAGTGTCGCAGGGTGGATAAGAGTCGGACGAGGATAGAGCTTTCGCCTTAGAGATAGAGGGCATGATGCCCAAGTTGAAAACTCTAACCGCTAAAGAAAAGTCTTGAAGTTTCTCTCAAGGCGCTTAAAGCTCGCATGCCATAGTACTCATGTATTCCATTCGCTTCATACCTGAAGCAAGAAGGCAACTGTCAGCCCCTGCAGAACCCCCTCATCACGATGAAGACTTTTACTAGAGTGGACACTTGCAATGGATAAAATTCATAGACATGATACTTGACAAGACAGCCATAAACAGAAAAATAAAAGAATCTCAGGTAGGAGCCAAAGCATCGATAATGTACATAATTTACACCTTCAACAATGGAGACCGCGGACGTATATTACTAACATCTCTCTCTCTCTCTCTCCCCTCTCTCTAATTCATTCATATACACTCATCGTTTATTACAAGCCTGATAGGTTTCAAGAACTCACTGTCATGATGTTGAAAACATCCCGGCGAGCTCCACTCATCCTCCTTCGCGAGCGCACCCCATTCAGAGCTTGCATCTGAAGGGGCACGACGCGCCTCCTAACTATTTTTCGTCTTCACTCGCTGCTGCTGCTGAGGAAACTGCTGGGGAAAATTGCGGCGATCGAGGATGTTCAGCTTGCTTCCATGGATGAGGACGGCACGGGCTCCGATGGCGAAGAGGCCTGACATTTTCACCCTCCAGACTCACATCGGCAACGAACGACGCGCACAGAGTCACAAACAATCAGCTCGCTCCCAAGCCTCTAGAAAACGCTCTCGCGTTCTTGTTCTCGGTTTTTGTAATGTGTACTTGTTCCAGGGTGTACTTCTCTGGGTACGCCTTTCCGATGGTGCCACGTGTTCTTAGCCACGACTTGAAGTAGATGCGATAGCATCCGACGTTCAGAAAGCCTGCACAATGCCCTCCTCCCGTGGGGAGCTGCAGGATAAGGCTACTTTCTGCAAGAAGAAGTTCATCTGTTTCTATTTAGTTCCGTGTTATCTGAAGTTTGCCTCCTATATTGCTGCAATTACCACTGGAGATTTGATTTCAGGGGCGACCTTTAATTCTCAGCAGCGCCTTAATTGTAGGCTTCTCTCCTCACTAGTCCGACCTTTTAGCGGCGTGCCGGCTAAATCACGGAGACGTCCAACTGTCCATCTTCGCTGTGATGGAAAGGCTAAACCAAAGATAGTGTTAGAGGTCCCGCTAATGAACAGGTATCAGGATAAGGTAAAAGCCCCGTGGTCTCACCATCTCCTTATCGGCATATCCCATAGACTTTTCATCTCGTGTTATTGCAAGGCCACCAAGCTGAACTGAAGTTATACATGGACAACGAAAAAGACTGCGCTGAGTCGGCTCCCAGCTTCTTGAAGAAAGGTTGTGGTCAACTTGTGACTCAACCTGATATGCCTAATGGATGGTAAGGTTTTAACTGGTTAACTTTAGAGCTTTGATGTAAATGTGTGGAAAACAGAGAAACATAAACTGCAAACTGTACCATGATTGTGGAACAAAGAATCGCATGGTACGACTAACATGAAACACAACGGATAATATTGTCCGTTGTGTTTCTTGTTAGTCGTACTCGTCTTGATGATGCATCGGTTAATATTTAGGTGATTCCTAAAAGCAGATGAAGCAACTTGTTCATATCTCAAACTATCTCCTTCTATACTTTGTCTTTCCGACTGAGCATATTGTATTCATCACCATGAAACTATCATCCATGATATGTCTGAATGTTGACTTAACGACATTAGCATAAATTTTACACTGCAAAGTAGATGTCTTACCAAATACCTTACTACCAAGTTGATATCAAAATAGTATTTATGATTTTAAGCTACTTTAAGTTGTCACGACTTATGTAGCGGCATCTCTAGTTAGGTAGGTGAGCGTATGCAAGAGCAGATTCATCAGTTAGAGCCGGTTGTGCAGTTAGTGTCATTCGTACTGGAATTGCCCTTAGGGCAGTTCTAGTGCCTTAGGGCCGACAATGCCGTCAGGGGTCCTAGGGCTCAAGGGGTAGAGTTCGAATTAGGGCTCATTGGAGTGCAGTTTTCGAAGTTGAGCCTTTGAGAGTATATCTATGGTGGATAGTAACTAGTGCGGAAACCTGGAGTCTTTGAAGCACAAAGTGGGTTTGGCTCAACTGTAATATCTCTCTATTATACTATGGTTATGAGCAAAGTGTTCTTGTGGATGTTTTGAGAGTGCAAAAGATTACTTCGAAAACTCAAATTGGATTCTGTGGTGAGAATTGTGAGTTCTTGGAACGTTGAAGGTGTTTTGGTGAGTTTGGATCGATGGTAGCTTTGATCTGTTGGTTGTTCAGTGTGCATAGTATTAATGGAGTGTAGCCCATGGTGGTGATCTAGAAGTAGAGTCGATTCAAAGTTGATGTCATCGATTTTGAAATTTTATATTTTTTGTTTTAGTATAAATCCGAATCAGAAATTTTTGAGGTCGGAAGCGCTGCTAAAAATTGACAAAGTGGATCAATACTTATAGTTATCTTGGGGCATTAAATCAAGATTGGTTGAAAAATATTTCGGAAAGAAGTGCTTGAAGTCCAAGATTTGGTATTTCGGGAAGTTAGTACCATTAGGCTATCAGATTATCATATAGTGTCAGTTTGATTTGAAATTTGGTGGGGTGATAGAAGATGTAAAGTTTGTAGCGCGGGTGTAGAGATATTGGTCCCAAGGTTGACAATATCAAAATTGCAAAATTTTGACATTTAGGGGTCTGAAATTGGAGTTGAAGATTTTCAAAGTACCGCAGAAGTAATAAACGGTGTCCGTTTGTGAAAAAAAAATTACGTTAGATAGAAAATTGAAAAAAACTAGTTGTCAAGGTGCAAGTTGAAAGAATTTATGGAAAGAAGCCACTGAAGTTACTATCTAGTTGCAGCAGTCGGAGGCTTTTATGCTTTAAGGCAGCACCTTATATAGCTGGATTACCAGTGTCAAGTTATCGATCAAGAGAGTAGAAGACCCCCAAAATCAAGTTTTTGTATTTTCAAATGCCCTTCTAAGACTATGTCAGTCCGGATTGGGTTGGTTTGACCCCTTTGATGGATGTTTTTGAGAGGGAGTATTGTTATTTATGTTTCTTGTGATTGATATACCTCCATCTCTTCTTCTTGTTTGTGCACCACATTTTTTTGTGTTGGTGTTTTGTTGTTTGGAGTGTTGGAGCTCCTATGTGTTATCGATTATGAGACTGGATTTGCGGACCAGTCAAACTATCCATGTTTCTCGCCAGTGAGATAAGACTTGCAGACGTGAGGACTGGGTGAGTGATTGTGGTGATGACACGTTTCAGGTTGCCCTTGTTTTAGCTCCTTGTGGTGCCTCAGGTACCTTCTATTTTGGTTTCTAGTACTATTTTGTTATTTCTGGCTCCAGTTGGATACGTGTTTATGTACGGTTGCGGAGGTAATTCATTGGTGTCACAGTGGAGTTCTCTGGAGGTTCATGAAAAAGATTACTCGGGTTAGCATTGGGTGCACCCAAAGCGGAGTTCGATACCAACCTTGACCTTTGAGGTTCAATGAAGATTCTAATTTGATTTTAGAGAGTGACGGAACTGAGGTTGATGATATCTTGGAGTGTGTACCCACACTGTTATTGTGGAACATGGACGATATCTATGGGGCCACCAAGGGTCCTAGATGATATTT